GGTTTATGGATGTAGAGATAATTATTATCAGGATTCAACATATGACTTAATATCTAGTTCCACATTATCATCTGGCTTCAGTGCCATCTAATCAGTCAGCTTCAGCTTTCACTTCCTAATGAGGCAAGTGCCTCCTGTGGCTGAAATGTCCCAGAAGCATTAGGGTTCTTGAAGTGCACATCACCAAGAATTTCCTGGAAAGCATCAGGGTATTCTGAATCTTGCAGAGGCAAACCCAGCATAAGCCAGTGTTAATCCCATCCTGCTCCTTCCTTTTTTATCCCATCTGTCCTTCATCCTCAGGGGTGGGATGTGCGTACAGAGAACGAGGAAAGACGCTAGAGATGCAGGGTGGGAGGAAACGCTTGCATTTGGAAGTGGAGGTCTTCCCCCAGTCTCTGGTTCTCTTGGAATCGCCGGTGGGCATTCCCGTCCTGGAGGAAGTTGAACACATTGAATAGAAAGGGGGTGGCTTGGCTTGAGAAGTTTCTCAGGTCAACTCACAGAAAGCGCAGGTAATGAGAAGACCAAGGATAAATGTAAATGGGAAAGCATATGAAAAAAGAAAATACCATTCAGAAACCAAACTCTGAGGCCTTTCAGTGACACTGAGCCAGGAACCTCACCCTAAGAGACATCTCCCACTTAATACGTCTAAACAGACCTCCCTTTCTGCATCTCCTGGTTGGTACTGCCATCCGCCTAGGTGCTCAAGCCAAACACTTAGGAGACACCCATTCCTCCCTTTCCTCTGCCCTCCATGCATGCATCCATGAGCCTCGTCCACCTGCAGGCAGCAGCCCCTAACCCCGTGTTCAGTTTCTGTCCACAGCACCCCGACTCCTACGATGTACTGGTGCCTCTTGGCTGCCCCTTTGGGCTTGGGACACTTCGGGGAGGGAAATCCAGTGTCCTGTGCACCAAATGTAGTCAAGAAGGAATTGGCACAGACTCCAAACTGCACAGCCCCTCCAGCCCGGGGATTCCTCACCCCGGTGGGCACGGCCTGTTGTCCAGGGAAGGGCAGGGCTGTCCTTGATTCTACCTCCATGATTCCTCCTGACTGAGGAGACCCACTTCTGTCATCTCCACTGCTACCATCCATCCCACATCACCCATGACTGGTCCACTGCCCCTCACTGGATCCCTGCCTCCAGGCTCACTCCCCCAGAATCTGTTCTCCCCCCAGAGAACATTTATTTTTGTATTTAAAAACGTAAATATTTTTATATTTAAAAATATAAATCAGGTTGTCACCACCTTCCTTAAAACTCCCCTTCACACTCAGAATGAAATCCCATCTCCCTGCCCTCACAGGCTCCCTCGGGATGGCTGGGAGGGGAGCGTGCACTTTCTGTGATTATCAATGGTGTTCGCACCATGGGCTTTGCACCAGACACACTGGGCTCAGATCCTGTTTAGCTACTTATTATTTCTGTAAATTTAAGCAAGTTCCTTAAACCTCTCAACGCCTTAGTTTCCTCATCTATAAACAGGTGATGATTTTCTGAGTACCTGCCATATAGAGTGGGTGTTAGGACTCACCAGGATGGTTCATGAAAAGCCCTCATTCCTCTCACGCTCAATATCAGCTGATAAAAATAATCAGAACAATGGAAACATTAACTAATTTAAAGACGGGCTCTGAATCTTCAACCATGAGCTTTTCATACCCTTCCTTAGCTGTTAAGCCGCACTGTCTGTAAACTAAATATGTCAGAAGTTTCCTTGTACAAGAGAAGTTAACAATTAAACCCATGGAATAATAAAACTGAAATTTATAGCTAGAAAATATCCAGAATACCATGATAGGATTGCCTAAGGTATAACAAGAGACAATTAGAAAGCTCTCATTTTCTGAGGTTGCACATCTGCTGAGATCTGCCCTCATTCTGAATTTAGGTTGAGAAAGAATAGGAAAAAAAATAAATCAAGCACTGAAGAATTTTCTGGTCATTTGAATTCAGCCCACCTCTTTATTCAGAGTATCACTCATACCTACAATACTCTGACGGGCACTGTCCAACCTCTTAGAGTTGGGGCATGCCTATGGTTCAGGAAACCCATTATAGTCTCAGGCAACACCATTTTTTATAAGGAACATAATATAAAACCAAAATTTGGGCTTCCCTGGTGGCACGGTGGTTGAGAGTCCGCCTGCCGATGCAGGGGACACGGGTTCGTGCCCCGGTCTGGGAAGATCCCACATGCCGCGGAGCGGCTGGGCCCGTGAGCCATGGCCGCTGAGCCTGCACGTCCAGAGCCTATGCTCCACAACGGGAGAGGCCACAGCAGTGAGAGGCCCGCGTACCGCAAAAACCAAAATTTATTTTCCTTTAATGAGTACCCACTAGTCTTTGTTTCACCCTCTGGAGCACCTCCGATGTCATTTAAAATCTCCACATACTGGCCTTTTGAATAGTTGTAAACAGCTGCCTTATTCCCCATTAAGCTGTCTCTCCTACAGGTTAAAGTTTCCAGGTCCTTCAGTCCTTCCTCACAGCACATCGTTTCTAGACCCCATCATCCTGGTCATATTTTTCCAAGCATGATAGTCTGTGAGCGCCCCTGTTGAAAGGGGCTCCCCAACATACACAGTATCCTCCAGGAGTGGTTTTGCCATGCTGAAGGGAGTAAGATATCACCTCCCTCATTTTGGAAATCATATTTTTATTAATACGGTCAAAGATCACACTAACTTCCCTGGAAGACACATTTAGTTGCTTACAGTCAACTAAAATCCCCACGCTTTTCCTGCACACCTCCTCCAAGCCATGCCCTCCCATCAACACTGGTATTTGGTCTTTTCTACGTACGAGCAGGTTCTACATGTCTTCCCTATTTATTTCACTTTGTTGGCATCTCTTTACTGTGACAGCCCCTGCGGATCATTTTGGATTATGACTCTATCACCCATTAAACAGTATATACAGTTTCATGTCATACAAGTATTGGATGACCAGGTCATCCACATCCTCAAGCGAGTCCCTGCAAAGCTGTTGAGCAGGTCCCTGCCATCTGCCACCCAGATCTGCCTCCAGGCTCAGAGGGGCTCATGAACTATCACTCTTTATACTCAGTCATTCAATAGTATGGCAGTCACACCCCAGGGTGACTCCCAATGACTCATGCCCTCGTATAATCCCCTCCCCTTAAGTATAGAACCTCTAACTTGCTTCTAAACAATAGAATATGGCAAAGGCGATGGGATGTCACTCCCTTGACTAGGTTACATTATATAAGACTCTGTCTTTGCCAACTAGAGTGAGAGAGACTCCCTTGCTGGCTTTGAAGAAGCTGTAATGTTTTGAGATGGTCACATGGCAAAGGACTGGGGGTGGCCTTTAGGACCGGACAGCCGATCTTATAGTCCAAGCAAATGAATTCTGCCAAGAACGTGAAGGAGTGTGGAAATGAGTCTTTCCCCAGTCAAGACGCTGATGAAACCACAGCTCCTTGCTGAGACTGCAGCTGGGTGAAACCCTGAGCAAAGGACGCACCTGAGCTGTGCCCAGATTCCTGACCACAGAAACTGTGAGATGAGAAGTGGGTGTTTTAAGCTGTTGAGTTTTTAGTAATTTGCTATGCAGCACAGAAAATGAATACAACCAATAAACCCATCTAACTGGGCTATAAACCAGCACTGATTGCTCCATCTTGTTCAAGGGTATCACTGCCAAGTGCCTTGGTGAAATCCAGATATGCTATTTTGCATTCTCCTAGTTTAAACAATATACTAACTCTGTTAACGTGAGGAAATAAGATTAGGTTCACCAGGCTTCTTCTTAGTGAATTCATTCTGATGATTATTGCATTCCTGAAAACTCAAAAATTATCCTTCTTATAATCTCTTCTCAAATTTTTCTTGGGCTTGAAGACAAATTCCCCATTCTACACAGTGTGTAGACTCTACCTTTATCCCCTTTTTTTGAAAATCAGGATTACTTTTGCTTATAGCCAGTCTCTTTTTGCCCTAAAATTCTCTTGATTTTAAGCTACATGAGGGCAAAGACCATCTGGTCTTCTTTGTACACCCCAGAGCACCGAGCACAGCATCTTCCACTCAGTACTTTCAACTTAAACCCTGTGAAAATAGTTATGACTGAAAATACTATTAATATATGGTTGCTGCAAATCTTCAGAAGTAGGCTTAATCTAATCCAAAGACTTTCAATTTATAGGGATGATCTGGTTGAGAGCAAAACTCAGATTTTTATGTAAGTCCATTATTCCCCTCCTCCGTGGTGTTAACAGTTACTGTAATGGCCAACCATCCATCTGCTCATGACACTTAGAAGTAGGAATCTGTTAATGGTAACTCCGTGATCTAAAAGAATTAATCTTCCTTCCAAAGGAGCCTGATTTATAATGGCACTGAAATAGCTAGGCACTAAGAAAATCCAAGTTAACCAATCTTTCATCCCACAAATATTTAATGGAACACATTTGAGCACGGTCCACAAATTCTTAGTTATGCTTCCTTTCAAGAAATGGAGCTTAATTCCCTTCCCCCCTTGGGTGTGGGATGGACTTAGTGACTTGTTTCTAAATTAGAGAATGTGGTGGAAGTGATGGTATGTGACTTTTGAGGCTAGGTCATAAAAGGCATCGTGGCTTCCTTCTTTCTGTTTCTCTTGGATCACTTGCTCTGGAGGCAGCCAGCTGCCATGTTGTGAGAACACTCAAGCAATTTCACATGGTGAGGAACTGAGGCCACCTGCCAACAGCTGACAAGCCAAGAGCCATGTGAATGAGCATCTTGGAGGCAGATCCTCAGCCTCAGTTAAGGCTTCAGAAGACTGCAGCCCTGGCCAATATCTTAACCACAACCTCATGAGAGTTACTAACCATCTAGCTAAGCTAAGCTGCTCCTGAATCCCTGATCCATAGAAACTATGAGATAATACAATGCTTATTGTGTCAAACTGCCGAGTTTTAGGGTCATCTGTTACACAGCCATAGATAACTAATACAAACACAAATTCAGAATTTTCGCTTACCTTGTAGTATTGTAAAATTCTTGATGAGCTGACCATGCTTGGAGTCCACCAGCTTCATTTCTTCCATAATCACTGATAAGTTGGCCACTTCAGTGTCCAACCTCGACCTCATCAAATCTTGTTGCATCCTGAGAGAAACAGAATCCAAACGGATGTTGGCCAGTGTGTTATTCAAGGAGGTCAGATCATCCGTGTGTTTGGTCAGCGTATCCGTGCACGTGGTCCTGACTTCATTCAGGTTGCTGGTCAGTGTCCGTAGGTAGTGGGCCGTGTAGCTAATATTGCTAATGATGTTCACAATGTCGGTCTCAAAGAGCTGGAAGCGCTCCTCCAGCTGGCTGAACTTGACAGCCGTTCTGTTCTCTGCATCCCTGTGTACATCCTGCAGATCTTTCAGGTTCTGCTCATTGGCTTGGGAGGCCGTAGTGATGTTGTCCATCTGCCCTGCAAAGGAGCTGAGCTGGCTGTTCATGTCCTCCAGGGTGTCATTGTTGGCTTTGGCCAAGGCAGAGTTATTGGCAGCCAGCGTCTGCAGGCTCTGCACTTTCTCCTTCAGCCAATCCGTGTCCTTCTTGGCTTGAAGGAAAACCTGCTGCAGGTTTTGGAAGTCATTCTTGATTCGCTGGATTGCCTGGCTTGTGTCATCCAAAGAGCGCTGCAGATTTGTGATGAGGTTCCTTTGCTGCACCTGGGTCAGGTTCAGGTTGTTGAGGTTCATGATGACCACGCTGTGAGAATACATCTGGCTCTGCAGGTTGCCCTGAAGCACACTCGTGTCTTGCTGCAGATTTGTAACATAGCCGTTATATGCCTGGAGGGTTTTGTTTACAGTGGTGATGAGGAAGGAGTTATTCTCCAAAGTTTCTTTCAGCTGACTCTGCTGGTCCACCAACGCATCCCCGCTCACCTGTAACTTCTCCAGCGTATCTCTGTTCTTGCTAGTCTTTTCTGTAATCTCACGAAGTTGCTGACGAAGATCCAGAATGTCTGACCTGAAGGTGGAGAGTTCTGAGTTGGTGCTGAGAGCTTTCTTCCCAGTTTGGTCCCCTGAAATAAGACATGTGTGTTACTCAGATTTGTGGGATGGAGAAGTGTTCAGGTGAGGTCACAGATCCCAGAGACCTAACTAGAATGTGCTCTATTTCATACATAAAACTTGTGGGATATGCAGACTGCACTGCAGTAGTAAAATCCATATCTCTGTTAAAACTGGGTCCTCAGAAATTGGAAAGGCTACTGAGTACTAGGACAGACTAACTTGGGTGAACACTTATCTCAAAGGAGGGGGAAATTTCCTGATTCTAGAGCACTGGGAAGGACGTCAAGAAGGCAATAACCTTCCGTTTAATTCATCAAAATTCCTTTTTAAAAAATTGAAAAAAATCACAGGATAAGAATAGGCTGGGATCTTTTATTTTTTTTAATTAATTTCTACAATTTTTTGTGAAGTTTAAAATATTTCAAATAGGAATTTACTGAGTGTTTCATAAAAGAGCTTTTAATAAAGGGTATTTGTGGTTTTTTGATCAGGATTGGTCTTCAGGTTTTATGTGGCACATAGTAGTGTTTGCTGGGGAGCGGAATTCAACTCCAAAATTGGTCCTTAACTTTAAAATTTTAAAGTCTTTGAATTAAATCATGAGGAAAGATTCAACACACAACATGAAAGTTTAAAGTCTTTCTGGGTGAATGTGAATTTAGAGCCATGTCATTCTAAAAAGCTGTGGTCATTTACATAGAGTTGAGTTAGGGGAGTCAACTTAATAGTTCACTCTCATTGCAGATTACCTAATTTTTTCAAGTCGCTTTCCACTGCTGTGAGCTTGTCATCATAGGTTTGGCGAGATGTCTCCATGCCACCTGTAACACTGTCCATTTTCTCTACAACTGAGATTTGGAAATCAATGGATTAATACACACACCTGCCCATATTTTATCTTTCAGTTTCAACAAGAGAGCATTTCATTACAGAATAAAGGAAACAGAGTGAAAGAAAAAGAGTATAAAAGAAATCAAATATAGGGAAAAAGCCATTCTTTTAGAAAAATAAGTAACGTACTTGTTGTAAACCCCGGTGGTAGTTTACTTGGTTGAGAACTGTATGTTCTTAAAAGCTGTTCTCAGGACTCTGTATTGGCTTGGAGATTTTAGAAATTGTATGGAACTCATTAAATATTTTTTGTATTATAGAAATCCTCAATCTGTGTTATTTTTTATATTAACTTCCATAGGTGGAGGCATAACACAAAATTTTGTCACTGATCAGACTCCCTACCATTCTTGGTAGGTGTAACTCGATTATATGGAAGGAGATTCCATGGCAAAGAAAATCTAGCTCAAGTCTATACATAAAGTTGTTGTAAAAGGGATGCAAAGTCAAGGGGTTTTGCTACTCTCTGTCATGAGTTCATCACTGAGGCTTGAAAATCGGCTTCTCCGTAGTGACAAGTGAATCTCTATCAGTTCCCAAGAAGATGCCTAAGTGGGTTTCCAAATAATAATTTACTAAGAAGACTTTTTTCCCAGCATTTTCCTGATTGTACATGATAGGGAAAGTTAGTAATGCAGTGTTAAAGCCACTGGCGTTATTCGTTCTCAGAAGGCAGTAATTCTCCATGGTTATGAATTTAAGTTTACCATTCTAAAATGTCTGGGAATTGTCTCCTAAGGCAAAAGAAACAACAGCAAATATAAACAAATGGGACCCAATTAAGCTTAAAAGCTTTAGCACAGCAAAGGAAACCAGTGACAAAATGAGAAGACAACATACTGAATGAGAGAAAATATTTGGAAATGATATGACCCATAGGGGTTAATATCCAAAATATATAAACAGCTCATGCAGCTCAATATCAATAACACACACATGCCAATTAAAAAACGGGCAGATTGGGCTTCCCTGGTGGCTCAGTGGTTGAGAGACCGCCTGCCGATGCAGGTGACACGGGTTCATGCCCTGGTCCGGGAAGATCCCACATGCCACGGAGCAGCTAGGCCCATGAGCCATGGCCGCTGAGCCTGCGCGTCCGGAGCCTGTGCTCCGTAATGGGAGAGGCCACAACAGTGAGAGGCCCACGTACCGCAAAAAAAAAAAAAAATAAATTTTAAAAAAAAGGGCAGATTTATTATACAAACACCAAACTTACTGAATTATACTTTATTGTAAATTAAAATAGAGAGTGAATATGTAACATATATGTATACACACACACACATATATATATCTTTCTTTAAATTGATTTATGGCATCCTCAATGCTTCCCTGAATTCCAAAGCTGGAGTGTCAGACTCGCTTTTATCTATTTCCTTCTCTTTATACCAGCCTTCATCTTTTGTATTATTGGAATAAAAATATCCAGGTCACTAAGCTCTAGTCTATAAAGAAGAAAACTCTTACTCTCCCTAACAGTGATCCATCCTATGTCATAATCTCTTTCGTCTTCTACCTTCTCTAATATTGTACCTCTTCATATAAATGAAAACCTGATTCCTTCCCAATAACACCACTTCCCTGGAGGTCCTCCCTAGTGGGGACTGTAGGTATTGACATAATTGTTTACCTCTGGCACATCTTGATCCTTATCTTTGAAATATCTTTTAACCCTTTCCTCCTTTCGAAATCAGCATCACCCAGTTTTACTCTACTTTTCTATCTTTGAGGCTATAAACCACAGAACTTCAAGACATGGTGTACCTTCTCTCTGATTTCAGCAACTTTTTCTTCTCATCCTTTCAATGCAACATTTCTTGAGACTTCAGTGTTTCCCTATTCATCTGGAATGGATGCATTTCAACAACTGTCTCTTGTTCCTTACAACTCAAGCCATGTCATTGTAACTCATCTTCCAGGAGATTGCCCCCCGCCACCAAAAGAAAATCCAAACAACCAAACAAACAAACAAAAAAACAGGCAGAAGATCTGAACAGATGCTTTTCCAAAGAAGATATGCAGATGGCCAACAGGTATGTGAAAAAAATGCTCAACATCGTTAATCATCAGAGAAATGCAAATCAAAACCACAATGAGATATCCCCTTACACCTGTCAGAATGGCTATCCTCAAAGTCTACAAATAACAAATGTTGGCAAGGATGTGGAGAAAAGGGAATCCTACTACACTCTTGGTGAAAGTGCAAATTGGTGCAACTACTATGAAAAACAGTAAGGAGGTTCCTCAAAAAACTAAAAACAGAACTACCATGTGTCCAGTGATTCCACTGCTGGGTATATATATGAAGAAAATGAAAACAATAATTCGAAAAGATACATGCATCCCAATGTTCACAACAGCATTATTTTACAATAGCCAAGATATGGAATCAACCTAAGTGACCATCAACAAAAGAATGGCTAAAGAAGATGTGGTATGTGTGTGTGTGTATACATATATATATATATATATATATATACATATATATACAATGGAATATGACTCATCCATAAAAAAAGAATGAAATTCTGCTATTTGCAACAACATGGAGGGACCTGGGGGGTATCGTGTTTAGTGAAAAGTCAGACAGAGAAAGACAAATAATGTATATCACCTATATGTGGAATCTAAAAAAATAAAACAAACGAATATATATACACAAAACAGAAACAGACTCACAGGTATAGAGAACTAATGTTTACCAGTGGGGAGAAGGGAGGGGAGAGGGGCAAGATAGGGATTAAGAGATACAAACTATGTATAAAGTAAATAAGTAACAAGGATATATTGTACAGCACAGGGAAATATAGCCATTATTTTGTAATAACTTTAAAAGGAGTATAACCTATAAAAAAATTGAGTCACTATGTTGTACACCTGAAAATCAACTATACTTCAATAAAAAAATAAAGATAGAAAAAAATAAAGTGTACTAAGTGAAAAAATAAAAATAAAAAATAAATGTCAAATAAGAGTATATCCCTCCAGAAGTAACTGCTGTGAGATCCAACCTCTAGCAGCTTGGGATCAAGTCTGACTGTCCCTCTTGGTATTGATAGCTTTTTAAAAAATAATGACTAATTTTTTAAGCATGAATATGTTTTATATATTACTTATCAGCCAATGGACCCAGTCTATTTTATTCAGCAAGCGTTCCACCCACGTGGGACTGTGTGAGAAGATTCTCCAGGCTCCCATCAGGAAGCAGAAGTATGTTCCCACGCGTGGAGAAGCTGGAGAAGCTCGTCGTGCTCTATCTCAAGCTTCTATATAGTCTGGTCATAATGAAATGTGTGCTTTGCACCAAACGCTCTTTCTCCCCCAAGCCTTTCCATGCATGATTCTCCCCACCTAGAATGTTCTTCCCTGGCCTCTTCCCCAAGCTAAGCCCTCCTTGCTCTTCAAGACTCAGCTGGTCACGTCCTGTGGGAAATCTTTGCTGAAATTTATGTTGCAGGGGTCTCTCTCCCGGTTATAGGACTCTCGTCACTGTGTTGTCATGGTTTCTCTACTCTAAGACCCTTTAGGGCAGGACAATTTGTGTTGGTTTTATCTCCAGCTCTTAGCTCAGTGTGTGGCGCGTAGTAGGTATTCATCACATACTTATTCATTACACCGTTTATTTAAATAAATGAGAATCTGCCTGCTGGCTGCTGAGGCCTGTGGAAAATATCAACTGAGCTAGAGGTTATGCAAACAAACGTATAAACCAACCAATGCAGGGAGGCCTCGACACTGGCAATGAGTATGGCATTTAGGTGAATAATTATCGTTTTTTTAAGATGACTATATAAACACAGAGGTATAGTTATAATAATCTGAGGGTTGTCTGATAGGCATGCACATTCCTAAATCCCTGGAAAATGGGAAGAACAAAATGTTTCATCTGCATTTTAGCAAAGCTACCCTTTAAAAAAAAATACGAATGTTTACAAGTTTAGGGTCAGTTTTGATCCTCAAATCAAACACATGCCTCAGTCTGTCCTCAAACCACGTACAGGATCTTAAATCCTGACCTTTTTTCCTGGAAGCCAAAGAAACCTCTGAATATGCTGACAGGCAGTCATTTTCTACCCTCTCTAATTTTTCTTCCATTTTACTTTTTAAAAACACAGAACTGTCGTAGACAGATAATTCAGGTTTGTATAGAGTAAAAGGAATAAACACATTCATTAAAAAAAACCCAAAAACCTGTTAGGTTTCTCTTTGGTGCTAGGAAACTCTTTGCCCCGCCCACAAGGATTACGAATTGGTTACATGCACCACTGCCTGTGTGTCTGTGTTTAAAAACACAGGATCTGGGTATAAAGCTGCAAACTTGAGGGCTGCAAAACTGGCAGCTTGCTAACTGCTTTAAAATACTAGACTGATGGAGATCCAGAAGTAACACTTGCTGTAATAGCACATAGCATTTTTGCTGTTTTTTTTTACTCTTAACTCATTAGCACAAATTCTGTCAGGAAAATAGTGGCAGACCATCCTCTCTGACCCTGGAAACTCCCCATCTTTGGAGGGAGACCTCAGTTTGTAGATTGTTCTCATATGAGGAAAACAAACATGGAACACAGAAGGGTCACGAGCAGTCTGTTTTTTCACAGGCTCCCCTTTATTGGAAAGTGTTTCTTGACAGATTTTTTTCTTCAAAGTATCATTGCTTTAGGTGTCATATCTGAAGTGTTGCCCTTCTTTAAGTACCCAAAACTCAATTCTCTAGGATCATCCGACAATAATACCTTTTCTATAAAAGCATGTTGGTATCATTCCTTGGCCTAGGCCACTAACCTCCTTCTCCCTCGTCTGGATTCCACCCGTCCTTTAAGGTCTATTCCAAATCTCACCAGCCCATCGTGCTAAGCCTTGCCTGATGATCTGATTCCACACCAATGGACCCTTTATCTGAATGGCAATAAAAACAGCCTCTATGGATTGCCTACTCTTTGCAAGGTGCACTGCATCGTCACTGCAGTTAATCCTTATGACTGCTGTTTTACAGATGAAAACACTTGAGGCTCAGAGATGTTCAGTAACTTGTCCCAAAGATTATTATTTTTAATTTTTGGGGGGGGTAAAAATCTGCACTTTACTTTTTAAATTTTAAAATGTTTATTATTTTTTTGGCCACACGGCATGCAGGATCTTAGTTCTCTGACCAGGGATTGAACCCATGCCCCCTGCAGTGTAAGTGCGGGGTCTTAAACATTGGACCACCAGGGAAGTCCCTCACACAGCTTATAAGTGACTAAGTGGGATACCAGGCCAGGAGATCTAACTCTAAAATCCATGCTTGCTCTGTAATTCCACATTGCCCTTCATCCAGTATTTCTTTTTTCTAAATATGGTTTCTTCCAAGAAAAGTCCCTTCCGGGGAAGGACTATGTCTTCTTTATCTTCCCTTTACAGTCATCATCCTCAGATGTTTACCAAGTATCTTCCAGGTTTGTGGCCCAGAGCTGGACATGGAGGATCCAAGAGACTTAGCTCATGGCCCAGGCCTTGAGAACATGGAACAAGAGCAGAGCACAGAGCTCCTGCCGGGTGCTCACGAGGGTCTGTACCAGCCTGACTGTGGTCCTGAGGGAGAAACACGCCCCCTACTGGTACCTGGGACTTCCCAGTAATACGAGTTATGCTCCTTGGTGATGTAATAAAGACATTTCTACCTTGAACACTATTTCATATTATGAAAATATAGAAGATCTTGTTATAGGGTGTTATCGTGGATTCTGACAACAGCTACACAGTGTGATCTGATGCACATCTGAAAGCCTACTTATCCAGGTGTAACTGCTACCTTGGCAGAGCCAAGCAGCAAGGCAGACATTTATGACTAGGAATGTTGCATCAGAGGAGGTTCTTACTGAAAAAGATTCAGATGTCTGTCTTTCATCTTTATCCTAATTACCTTAAGGTAGATGCCTGCTGGGCAGGACCACAGAGTAGGATTTTCCTGTTCAGGGAATGTTCTGGAGGAAAAATGACCCACTGAATTTAGGAGGTGGCTTCTGTCATGGAAGCTTCACTGACCGATGATAAAGAGTCCAGGACAGAGGGTGCACCAAGCTGTAACTGTCTGAGAATGTGCTTTCTGTAAAGTGGCTGACATGCCTCATTGTCACAGCCAGTGTACTGACCTGTCTGGGTGACTCAGCAATCCTCTGACTTGATCAGCAAATTCTCTGGAAGGAGCTTAAGTTACATCCTAACTTGTAGCTGCATAAGTGACATAAAAGGAGAAGTAAAGAACAGTTTTGAGGAAAACACCATGGAATTGCCTTTGCAAACTCTGATAAATAAAGGAGTTTCTATTTTACTTCCTTCCAACTTCTCCTCCAGAGACTCTTTTTTCACTGAATATTCTTTTTTGTTTCTTTCTTCCCTTTTTTTTTTTTAAAGTGGAGCGAGTTCCTCCAGACTTCAAAGGGAGATGTGTGAAGGGAGAACTTATCTTTCTGCCTCTTACCATGTTGGGTCACCAGAATCTTATCAGCAAGAAAGAGGAATCACTGTTCAAGTAAAGGGAAAACACACCTGGAAAATATCAGCATTTTAGCTCATTAAGGCTGTGTTTAAAGACAAAAATTGCATGTTCTGTTACCTTATTTTTGTCAGTAGAAGCCTGAGGGATGGGGACCCTGAAGGAGGAAAAGAGGGGCCTCCAACTTGTCTCACTCCCTCAATCTCTTCGCCCTTCATCCTGGCGAGATACACCCCAGAGCAGGCCAAGTAATCTTCAGGATTTTAAGCTTCTAGGTAGGGCCTGAGTTGCAGCAATTGGCTTAGAGGTCCCTGGGCATTGATTGACTGCCTTTATAGAAGTCGGCCCTAATCTACAATTCAACCATCCAACTATCCATCCATCTTCTCATAAATTCATTCAGTAAACTTTATTGGGTAACTGTTACGTACTATGAGCCAGGTGCTAGTGGGAGATATGATAAATAAAAGATAGTCTCTTGTCTTCGTGGACTTACAGTTTGGGCGGTGAGACAGACCCACTGGCCATAATGATATAATGTGACAGGGACTAAGAGTAAAAAAGGATGCCATGGGGCAGGAGGGCACCCAACTCAGCTTTCAGGGGCTTCTTGCAGTACATGTGTCTGAGGGAGACATGAAGGGAAAGAAGGAAGAGAAAGTCATAAAGAGAAAGGTGGAGAACAGGGAAAAGGTGTTCCAGGTGAATGGGCCAGCCCACACAAATATGCCAGAGCAGAGAAGGGCTTTCTACTGTCATAAAAATGGAGGAAATATCTGTACTTTAAAAATAAAGCCCCCTATTTTGTATCTTTCTGTATAATTCTTAAGGCATAAAGATCCTAGACCTTATCTTTTTGCAGAGGTAAAAATGACAAAATACCATACAGAGCTATTTCTTCAAACCTTTCTCATCTCTCTTTACTTTTATATCACACAGTGCTGAGCCCTAAAGATACCTAATTAAATGACTGTTTGATTTCAAGCATCTCCTTTATGTGAGTTCACTAGGAAAAGTTGTGAAGTGAGTAATGACCTAAATGACCCAGTAAAGGAAGACAACCAGGCTGAATTACCTGGGACATAAAACACCTTCCTTTTCCCCACTAGGTTTCCTCCCCCGCCTCCCTCTGTCCAGCCCCGCCATGATTTAATAGCCTTTCTTAACACTTGCTCTGTTAATCCTTAGTTAGATTAACTCATCGCAAATGGATAAAATGACCTGGTAATTTTCCAAACTTCCATTGCCTAAGTTCATCAGTCAGCCCACTACAGGATGCACACAATTTTCCATGGAAATAGCCTTAAAAGTGGACTTAACAAGCCTTGACTATACTGAGTATTTTTAACATGTTTTGCCATTCTCATAGCTAGAGCTGTAAAAACGCAGTTATGAAGAACCAAAGAACAGAGAGATTCAGCCACTCGCTACTGGGACCAACCTTAGGACAGGTGGCTCAGTTACATCATCTTTGCTCATCGCAATCACCTTGAAGAGTGGCATTATTATTGCCATTTTACAGATAAGAAATCAGAAACACTAGGGGTTATGATTCATACCCAGGTTACACAGCCGTGCAGAGGATTTAGCGTGATGCCCGGCACGCCAGCGAGCACTTAATAAACATTCACAATTGCATTACAAATGGTGGACTCAAGAACTGGACCGGGACCGTCTGGCTCCAAAGCCCATTCTTATTCCAGTACATTGTTTTCTCAGGAAACCGATAAACACTGGGAGAGCAGTGGGAGGAGTTACAAGCTGGAGGGAATTCACTTTGCATCCTTCTGTCCCCAGGTCAAGTCTATGGGGCAAGGAACAGAGAAGGGAACATGTGGGAATTCTCCACTGTTAATCTGTCAGTGCTGAGGGAAGGCAGAGTGAAGATCAACAAACCCCATGTCTGCCTCTTGCTGAAACCAGACATCACATCTATCTCGCATGTCTCTGTGAGGCTTCCATGGCTGTTTTCTTTTTTTTAGATAAATAAATAAATAAATAAATTTATTTAGGGCTGTGTTGGGTTTTTGTTGCTGCACGCTGGCTTTCTCTAGTTGCAGTGAGCTTGTGGTGCACGGGCTTCTCACAGGCTCTAGAGTGCAGGCTCAGTAGTTGTGGCACATGGGTTTAGTTGCTCCACAGCATATGGGATCTTCCCAGACCGGGTCTCGAACCTGTGTCCCCTGCATTGGCAGGCGAATTCTTAACCACTGCGCCACCAGGGAAGTCCCCCATGGCTGTTTTCTATAAAAGGGGTTACGTAGTTTGTGATTCCGAATCAGGGCGCCTTCTACCTGCGATGTCTGGAACGGGGGGTGGGGGGAACCAACCTACTTTGCAGATCTGGAGGATTCAGGCAAAAATCCTCCACTGACCTTAAACCAGACATGTTGAAAGAATGCCTGATGTGCCATAAAGTACAGTTGAGGTGGTGGTGCCACCTCTGTGTTTAATTTCTACAGGGTGGTATTTTTATGGGGGTATATAAACAGTGACCACAGTAAATGTGCTGAAGAGAAACAAAAGGGAATTAATTGGCCAGTCCCTAGGTGAAGTAAGTCGTATCTCTTGGAGGTCTTATCCTCTGTCAATATAGTTTTCCCATGTGCTGACTCCAGGGTTTTCGTGGGGCCTCTTAGAGATAAGATGAAAAAAGACAGAGGAAGAGGGAGTATTTGGAAATAAGTAGGAAAAAGCAACAAAGAGGAAAAAATTTTATAACTCATAGAGGACCATGATTATGGTTGAAATGACTCAAAAGGAATTGCTACTTCTCTCCTTTCAGGTCCCACAGCTACAAGAAGCTCAAGGCACAAAGATGGAGCTTAAGATGTTTAAGTTTTGTTGGCAAGAGTTATGTTAATGAAATACTTCACACTTGCAAATGTACTTGTTTTTTCAGGCTTAAATTAATGAAAGAAAACTTGCTATTTGGAAGGAAAAAGGAAAGAGTACTTACCTTTGTATCCCAAAATGGCTACTGTGATTGTTAACAAGGCACACAAAATGTATAATAATATGATAGAAAACTTCAGTGCCCAGTTATTTTTACATTTGGTACATTGTGTTCCTTCCTGAATACCTGTAAGAAAAGTCAAATCTTAATAATAGTAACCAAAAACACATTTCAAAAGTATCTTTTTGCATTTTGGTTCAAATACTATAACTAAGAATATAGTTTTTACATATGCCCTACTATAGGATGAGTGGTATTTTAAAATTAAACATACTTGAACAACACAAGCACTTTAAATCTCACCATTATATTATTATAAACGTATTTAATGACTTGAAAATAGAGAACTTTGTCTCATAGAACAGTTTCAAGATCACATTCCATTATGATAATTATAATTTCAATAAAGATCTCTACATGACAAGAGATTTAAAACACCCAAATCTACTTGTGTCAGCCATTATTGGACCTACAGTAATTCAGACACAACCAACAACAACAACAAAAAAATTGTGACTGGGGCTTCCCTGTTGGTGCAGTGGTTGAGAGTCTGCCTGCCGATGCAGGGGACACGGGTTCGTGCCCCGGTCCGGGAAGATCCTGCCGCGGAGTGGCTGGGCCTGTAAGCCATGGCCGCTGAGCCTGTGCGTCTGGAGCCTGTGCTTCGCAACGGGAGAGGCCACAACACTGAGAGGACCGCGTACCGCAAAAAAAAAAAAATTGTGACTTGTCCCTTGATGTTTGTTTCAGTGGTGTGCTCGAGCTAGTTCCTACTGGCTTGCAAGAGTCAATTGTCAAATTTGTAGGAATTTTGGGAACTGGTTGTTAAACGGTTGGCAGCTTGAAATCAACCCTGGAGGGAGTATTTACACCATGGAAATTGGCAAACACTACAAATGATGCCCTCCCACACCCTCAATTGCTTTACCAGCATGCCACTAGCTATACTGTACTATAACCTATAGCAGAAAATATAGGTAAGTTTTATGATTAAAATGCTCCATATATAACCATCTTTGTACATTACATATATACAGAAAACAGACATTGACCCTTATTTAAGTTATCACAGTGATTTAAATAACAACTAGGGAACAACCAGAAAAACCAGACATTTTTGATGAGAGGAGGTAAATTTTTAGTGCTCACAGCTGAACTTTTTGAAAAACATTCTAGTCTAAGTGGTAAACCACCAACACTTCTGCAAGTGACTCCAGAAACTAACCCATAAAAAAGGAACTTGCCATCGGACTGATGAGAAACACAGGAGACATAGACTCTTGACACTTTAATGTGAAAATCACATTGTAAGGAGTATCGTGAGAGTCTTCCTTTCCCTATGTGTGTCTTACTAATAGCGTCTCCCAGGAGCAACAGCACACAAAGGACTGATCTTCTATGATTGTGCTCAATAACTTTTGATGGGTAAATTGTGAAGATTAAGCCACAGCTGAAGTTTCTCTCCTTTGGTTTGTAATTTTATGCATTGTGCCCTTCTTCAGTGAAAAGAGTTCTTCAGCTGTGTTTAATGCAAAATGATGAGAGAAACAGCATAGAACAATGACTCAAATTAAGTTTCAGGGTTTAACCAATCTCTCCAGTGTTCTGGGCTATACACCCAAGGGGAGGGGGCTCAATCTGTCTGTTCCATGACTTAGAGCAATGATTCTCAAACTCCACGGTGCACTGGATTCACTCGAAAGCCTTGTTGAAACACAGCCTTTCTAATTCAGGAAGTCTGAGAAGGCACCTGAGAATCTGGATTTCTAACAAGTTCCCAGGGGCTGTGATGCTGCTGGTCTGGCCGCCATGCTTTAGAAGAGTGCTTCTCAAACTGTCAAGTGCTTACAAATCAAATTTTTGAAATGGAGATCCTGATTCAGCAGGTCTGAAGCAGGAGCTAAAATTCTGTATTTCTAACAAGGTCCAGGAGATGCTTCATTGGAGGAACACATTTTGAGGAGCTACGGTTTGTTTTAGAAGATGGTCATATGCTGGATCAACCTTGGTTAGCCAATTCCTTGAAGGTAAAGCTGTAAAGTCAGACTTATTGATCAAACAGACCTAGAGTTAATCAGCTTTGCAGCATCGCAGTTTTCTCATTTCTTTGACTCCTTTTCCTTTCCATCCTCCTCCTTCCATTGCCACCTGGATGTTTCAGTGCCATCTCTCGTGTCCAAAACTGACCTTGGTACTAGCCCTGCCAAACCAGATCTCCAGCTTTCACCCAACTTTTTTATTTCCATCCAACCTCAATACTCCTACCATCCCAATCCCCCAGGTGGTCAAACTCAGACACCTTGAAGTCTTCTCGTATACTTATTCTCTAACTCAATAGGTCATCAGACCCTGCTAATCTTCCTGCAGATATTTTTGTCATGATCATCTCATCCACAGTTTACTGATGTTCGCTTACTGCCTACACTGTGCCAGACTCTAATATAGGTACTTTACATAACCTTTAATTCATATAATAACCCTTCAAGATGGCATGGTAGTGAGAGCTGAAATGACATCCCATAGACATCACAGCCAGGATTCGAACCTGGGCCTGCCTGACTCCAAACGCCATAAACTCTCCCCTACGCCACGGTGCCTCTCTAGTCAAGCTTTCCTATCCATTTCCACTGCCACCATCCTAGTGTGAGATCTTCTGATCTCAGTGGAAGATTCCTCTTCCATTCCCACTGGAATCCAGCCTCACCCTGTAACAAAATACTGCTGACCTCATGATGATGCCAAAAAGAAAAAAACAAAAACAAAGAAAACTTTCAATCGTTCATCCTTAACTAAAGGATGTGTGCGCGCGCGCGCACACACACACACACACACCACACACACACACACACACACCTGCTCATAAGCTCTCTATAATCTGGCAGTTCAAAATGAAACAAAGACCCGTTATATCCAGTTAGAGTGAGCACATTTTTGGAATTGGGAGTGGGGGAAGCACAGGTAGACCCAGAGATATGCCATATCTCATGTTCAGAAAACAATTAACTTGCTTTGGTGGCAATTGTAAAACACAGAAGGAGGACAGACCCAGGGATGCTGTGGAAAGATTGGATGACACTTTTAGGGTTGATGGAGGGTTTCATTCCTTTTGGATTTTAGGACTGTGGTGGGTGAGCTCTTTATGCCTCTCCAGGGCTATTTCTTTCATTCCATTGGAAGAGCCTCAGAAGATTTGGTCAGAGGGCAGATGATGATAGATAACAGAATTTGGGGCTAGAGCATTGCTTAGAGGTCATCCGGTCAAGCATCATTGTGTTACTGATGTGGAGAGTGAGGCCAGCGAGGTAAAGCAGAATCAGAAGGAACGTGCCCTGACGTCCAGTGCAGGGGTCCTTTCCTCCCCTTCTCACCATGGGTGCTGGCGCTGTGTTTGCCACTGGACATCTTGTGCATGTGGTCTTCATGCAGATCTGCTCCCAGACAGTTGTCACTGCTTCACATGCTGAAGAACAAGGGTCACTTCCTAGTGACACGCATTTCTCGTTGCTGGCTCTATCAGCATTTAATCAATATCAGATGGCACCGCCTGGTCTCCCGTCCTACTTGACACAATTTCTCCGTCTTGTTTTTTCTCCCTCCCAAGACTTATTTTTCATAAGAATTCTGTTTTATCTTTCCCTCTCTGCCCTCCACTGGGAGGACATCTGGCCAAACATACAGATGCCTACTACAAAGAGACCCTGCTGGCTCACGTAGCTGGGGGACCCCCTCCTCCTTGAACCTAGATGGTCACAAAAAACATTCAAGAGAGACATCCCCCTGTTACCAGCCTTTGTAGTGTTTGTTTTCTTAGCATTACTTTCCAGAGACGGGGGACTCTGTTCCCATTGCGAGGGGCCAGTAGGAAGGGCAGGGAATGGATCTGCAAGGCTGCAGATAAGAGATTCTAGGTCAGGAAGTGAAGCAGTTTGCCCCTCACCACCGAGAGAGCCAGCTTATCACAAAACCTGGCCCATTCGGCACATCTACAATTCAGCAGGCCACAGGCAGAACGTGCCTGCAGGACCCATGCCCTCCCATGGGTTACCCCTCCTGCTCTATCCCCACTGAACTCAATGCTTGGCTTGTGTTCTGAATGCATTTTCCAGTGTCCAAGTCTTTATTATACAAAAAACATCGGGGAGGCCAAAGGAAGCCAGAATCACTCTGGTTAACTCCTTGAGTATTCTACGAAGTTCAGAATAGGCTGACAGTTTGGTCCCATCCCCAGTGTGCAAACTCAAAGTTCCCTGTGTTGCCCTGCTTCCAATAACACGTTTTAAGTAAGAAGATGGGGGTCAGTGCGGCCGCCGATCAGGGCATGGGGAGCTAGTTGGAGAGAATAAGTGAGAAACACTGCAGGAATGACAGTGCAGAAGGCCAGAAAAATTCACCAGCAAAGAGAATTCCTTTCTGCTGTGGTTCTCCATAAAGAGCCCTCCCAAGCTCTGTGGTTCTGGCCCCAATACAGTCTGTTTTGCCAATCATTTTGGAAAACAAAAGAGTTTCCTTCACTATCATATTTTTCTACTATCACCAAAAGAGGGCTCTCTGTTAACATGGATGCGTGCTGATCAGCGCCCTTCCTCCTTAAGTGAAGGCTGGCGCTAGTGGGCGAGTGCACGGCACTTTCGGGCTGTCTTAATTATCATAAATGTCCAGAGCTCAGTGGTGTTGCCATAAAGATCATGTTACCATAGAGAAGCTTCAAAAAGCTGGTAGACTGCAAAATCCAGAAAACCACAGGTTTTGATCTGAGTTTTGCAGTGACCTTTTCATGTGGTTTTTTAATAGTTACTAATCTACTGCCTGGTGGCATATATTCCCATAAGCCCATGAGAATGATTTGGCTCTAACGGTAAAACTGATGATTCAAATACATTCCTATCATTAAAATGCCCTCAAAAGCAACAAAACAGTAAGAGTTAACATCTTAGTTAGTTATTTGGATGTTGTGTAACATCACTAGAACAGAAGTTAAATACATAAAACACTTTATCCCACAAATAATTAGTTTTTCTTTATTATAAAGGCTATTTACTAAATGATGGGATATGGATTTATTTAGGTTTTTTTTTTAAGTATTAATGAGTATTTAGTTCCCCAAATACAAATCCCAGCCCT